CCTTCCTTCCTTCCTTCCTTCCTTCCTTCCTTCCTTCCTTCCTTCCTTCCCTCCTTTCCCCATGCCTTCTCTCCTGCCTTCCTCTCTTCCACTTTACATCTCCCCTTTCTTCCTTCACTCCCTCCCTCCTTTCCTTCCTCCATACATCCTTCAATGTATCTCTTTTCACCTTTCCTTCACTGTTTTAATTTTTCTTTCTTTTTTGGATCTATACTCAGAACCATGTCAGTGGGTATATTTGATTATTAAGTATAGAACCTTTAAGACACAGCTACAGTGACTCACGACTTAGTGTTTGTAATGCATAGTCAGGGGTCAGCTGTGACCAACTAGCTCAGAGTTTTGTTCTCCAGCTTTTTGTTTTATTGTTAATTTTTGTTTGTTTGTTTGTGTTTTTCTTCCTGTTGCCATATGTGTGACCATAAGTCAAGTTTTTAACGCTTTGCTCCAAACAGGAAGGTGGAGAAAGATCTGGTGCTCTACTTGGAAGCAAAAATATTTCTGGAGGAATCCCAAAGTTTGGTTGTAAATTGGGTTGCTTTCTTTGAAGAGAAAAGCAAGGAAAAAGAAGACTCAAAGAATCACCAAGAGTTTTGTGCATCCACTCTGCTGACTTCTCAGCAAAGACAAAACATTAGCTTCTGTGGTCCACTTTCTTCCATATTTCCAGTCGTTTATTTAGTAGAAATTCTTATCGTCTATGCAAGCATGTCTGCATGTCTGTTGCAGAAGTTAAGCAGTCTTACCCTTGCTTCTGGTTTTCCATTTCTTGACTTGTATTTTCAGCTGTTTTCTAAATGTCTAGTGCAAAGTCAGCGATATTTTACCAATAGCTTCATTAAGGTGGGTTTCTGGGTAAAGTATATTCTTTACTTAAACCAGTACTCATAGAGTTTTTGAAAATATAATCAATAACCATATGTTCTCGCAACTCTTATTTGGCATTATTCAAATCAGAATATTATTTTTATCATAGACAATAATAGCAGCTTCTCTTATGCAGAGGATCAAAAGTTGCCATTGTCCAACAATTTTTTGTGTAATTTTGTTGACAATATTTTTCTATATGTGTTGCACTATTTCAATATAAGTAGATTTGTGTTCACTGGTATACTTGTGTGTCATGGTCTGAAAATAGTGACAGGCACTTCTGGTTCATTTTCAACCATTTACATTTTATGAATATATTTATTCTCATAACTATACTGTCTTTTGCATAAAAGGAAGAAAAAATTAAGAAATATATAATTCATCCATAGTTGGGTATATTAAATGTTCTCAAATTTGGTGACCCTGTGAGTAATGTCAGAACTTATACCATAAATAGTTTCATTGTAATGTGAATATAAACATTGAACATAAAATCAGGACTCCATTTGGCACCCTGTGAAGAATGTCTAATGACCTATCATACTACAAGCTGAAGCAGTACTTGGGCATGAGTTAAGAACATCTGTTTAGAATGATTTTCCAGTAAGGTCTGCTTCTTTTACAAGGAAAAATCTGAAGAAAACATCAAGTACTTGCTATTACATCATTCTGCAGACACTAAACCTCTGAAGGCACACAGTTATGGAGCTTAACCTCCAATCCCAAGAAACTGTCAATAAAAGCGACCCCTTGTAGAGATCAGTGGACATTCTTGGAGGGGTGTTGTTGAAAGGACATCTCAGCTTGACCTCCAAGGGAAAATATATTTGCTAAAACTGTTTTAAAAGAAATCTGCACTGGACAGGCCCCTACTAGAAAATCTTTGTTGGATGCAGGAGTAAACTCCAATAAAACCACAATAAAATAAAATAAAATAAAATAAAATAAAATAAAATAAAATAAAA